CCAGTGACACACCCTTTCCCCTCGCCGCTGCCGCCTCTGAGGTCATGCAGAATTTTTAAATGACCCACGTAATTTCTGCCCATCCCGTAGCCGCCACGTGTCCCCGTGGCCGTGACGTGTACGCCGTGTCGCCCCCGTGCGCCCAAAATTTGTTTTCCCGCGAAAAGGCACATCGGAAAAATTGAAAATATTAGGCGCACCAATCAGCACGGCAGCTTCTACAGAGCGCACCCATGGCAACGCAGGAACTCACAGACGCACAGACTGTCACGCCACGCGTCCCCGTGGCGGCCTGGCCGCAGGCCAGGCCGCCCCGCACGTAGCCGGCACTTGTCGCCGCAGCGCCCCCGTGCGCCATGCGGCCAGGCCGCCCCGCACGTGGCCGCCACTTGTCGCCGCAGCGCCCCCGTGCGCCAATGAGAACCCGTGCGGGAGCGCACGAACACACATACACAAACACACAGACAGACAGACACGGATTTTAGTATACGCGGGGACAAGTGGGCTCCGTGCGCGCTTCGCGCGCCGAGCCAAATCCCTTCTTTCTCCGCTCCTCGCCCCGCACCTCCCGCTCCGCCGTCCCTTCGTCTCTGGTCCACCATCGTTGCCGGCGTTCCCCGCCCCTCTGCTCCCCCGTCCTCTTCGCTACTGCTCTCGTCCTCTCTCCGGTCTTCGTCGCCCCTTTCCCCCTCGTCCTGCCACGCGTACCGCCCCTCCGTGCTCACTCTGGCTGCAGGTCGCGCTGCTCTCGCCACACTCGCCTCAGTCCTGCTCGCCACCCTTGCCCAGGCCGTTACCATGGTCGCTACGGTTGGCACTCCCGTCCGCCTCAAACTCCGTACCGGCGAACCCGTGGTCCCCCGCCCACACTGCCCCCTCCCTCTCCCCGCTTCTGCTCTCGACTGTTTCGCCGCCGCCCGCGTTGCCTGCCGCCTACGCCGCGAGGCGCTTCGCTTACTCAATCCCCGCACTCCCACTTCCGTGCCCCTACCCTTTCGTTATTCTATGGCTCTCACGCTCTAGGCACGCGCCCGCGCAATCACACCTCACCCGCCGCCCCGCCCTACTCCACCCGGCCCCTCTACTCGTGCGGCTCGCCCCGCTCCCTCCGGCCCTGCGGCGGCCTTGCCCTCTCCGTCGCCGGCCTCCGCCCCTGCTGCTGCTCTTGCCGCCCCCAAGTAACCGTCGCCTCGCGTGCCCGGGCTTGCACCCCCACCTCGCCTTCCGCTCCACCCATTTCCCCGCCTGTGCACCTCCCGCTCGCCTTCCTGCTCCGACCTTTGCAGTTACTGCTCCCGACGTCCACACCCTTGCTGCTGCTGCCGCTGCCCCTGCTTCGTCGCGTGCGCTCTCAGCGACTCTCCCGCCCTCCGCTCTCCTGGTTCCCCTCCCCTCCTGCCTCCTTTGACGGCCCTACGATCCCTCCTCCCCTTATGATGCGCTTCCCCCATCCCCCGCTTGCCCGCCTCTTCTTGATCAAGCCGATCACAGCCACCTTCCCCTCTGCACGCCGTTTCCGTAGGCCCTCATTCTCGTCCGTCGCGGTGCCGCTCCCGCACCCACAGTTTTCGCAGTTAGTCAATCTTCCCTCTCGTACGCTGCGGACCCCGCGGAAGGAGCGCAGCGCGACCACCTGGGCATCAATTCCCGCCCCCCCTCAACCGCACGCGTCTTCTTGCGCTGCCGGCTGCGACACCTGCCTGCCTCGCAGCGACGGTCTTCGGCATTCCTCGCCCCTGCCCCTCGCGCCGGCGCTCGCCGCCACCCCCTTCCCCCCCGGGCACGGTCCGGCCTCTTCCGCACGCGCTCCGCACCCACCTCTCGGGCCTCGTCCGCGGCCTCTGCCTTCACCCACCGTACGCGACCCTCGCGACAGCGTGGCCATGCGGGCCCCCTTGCCCTCATCGCCGCTGCCGCCTCTGAGGTCATACGGAATTTTTAAATGACCCACGTAATTTATGCCCATCCCGTAGCCGCCACGTGTCCTTGGTGGCCGCTTGGCCTGCGGCCAGGCCGCAACGCAGCCCCCCGCCACTTGCCACCGCCACGTGTCCCCGTGGCGCCCTGGCCTGCGTCCAGGCCGTCCCTCACGTGGCCGTGACGTGTACGCCGTGTCGCCCCCGTGCGCCCAAAATTTGTTTTCCCGCGAAAAGGCACATGGGAAAAATTGAAAATATTAGGCGTACCAATCAGCACGGCGGCTTCTACAGAGCGCACAAATGGCAACGCGGGAACGCACAGACGCACAGACTGTCACGCCACGTGTCCCCGTGGCGGCCTGGCCTGCGGCCAGGCCGCCCCGCACGTGGCCGCCACTTGTCACCGCGGCGCCGCCCCCGTGCGCCAATGGCAACGCGGGAGCGCAAGGACATACAGACACACACACAGACACGGATTTTAGCCACATGTCGCCACTTGTCCGCCACGTGTCGCCCGTGCGCCAATGGCAACGCGTGCGGGAGCGCACGAACACACATACACAAACACACAGACAGACAGACGGAAATTAGTATACGCGGGGATTAAGAGCATTTTTGTTACGTACCACTTTTTATGAGCCCTTTTCTTAGGAGCGCTAGAGTGATGAAGAGGTAAAGAGGGCGTCGTCGGAATGAGTTTGATCAAAGGGAGCACGTTCCCTGACAAGCACAGCATCTTGATGGCATCCTTAGCCCTGTGCGCCACCGTGGGCCGATCTCACAAGGTAAAAAACTCAGACTTTGGGCGCCTGCGTATACAGTGCCCCTCCCAGCAGTGTCTCGAAGGGAACGCAGGTCTGGAGCGTGAGGATGGCTCAACTGGAAGGTGAGCGGTCGGAAGTGAGTTGCAAATGCCGAAAGCCTGAGAAGACGGGGCTTCTCTGCGTGCACGCTTTGACAGTGTTTGATAATCTACGCGAGCGGCATGCGAACGTCCCGGAGGCTGCACACTGGAATCATCTGGACACAAAGTGGGCATCGACTGTTTTTCATCATGCAACACTTGAACGCCAGGATGTTGCTGTTGCTGCCCTTGCCTCTCAAGTAAACATTAACGTGGATTTGCCAGATTCTGCTTATTGCCAGACAGATGAGGGCGTGGAGAGTTCCGAGTCAGGCAGCTCGGCCGAAGAAACGGCGGAAACAGGGGGTCGCAGCGCTTCAACGAAAGTCGCGTTGCTCTGCTTGTGGTCAAGTTGGGCACTACACTGTACTGTACGCTACGATTTGCGAAGCCCCAGACACTGTGTACCTCTACCGGAAAGTCGTTCGGGAGTGAGGTGAAGAAAGTGGTACGTAACAAACATTCTCTTAAATTAACTGTACAGCTTTTGATACAGAAACCCGCGGCATTTATACACGTGTCAGATCCGGTGCCACGTGTGCGAAACGTCTTCCCAAGAAAAGAATCTCACATACGGCCGAGTGCCCCTTCTCCATAGAGAAAGAGCCCCAGTCCAAGCCGGGGGACGCAACACCTTCCCCCTTCTCCATAGAGAAAGCCTTAGTCCAAGCTGGGGGACGCAACAACATGCTCTTTCACGCATGGACGACATACCGCCAAAGCGCATAGTAATGCAGCCCCCCTCCGACCATAACAGCGACATGCCACACGACATGCAGCACTGGTATCTTCTTCCCACCCAAATAGAAGCCTATCCCAATGGAATACACTAGCCCCCCTGCCACCACAGCCACAAGCGCACCGCCCTGCATGCGCTCCA